GATGGTTTCCATTGGTTACGTTTCGGGTAATGTTCACATTTTTGTGTTGTCTCTATCATTTTGGGTGTTTTGCTGGCCAATTATCCTTTATTTTTTTCCTACAAAAATGAATTCAGCTGTTCTAAGGGATATGGACTTCATGCTATCATTCAAGCCCTTGGTAGTACTAATTAACTTGGTACCAATGTTTACAAAGTCCCGACAATTTTTTCAGTATTCAGCTCACATAAGAAAAAAATAGAAATGCGTGATGAAAATTCAGTCGCTTAGTGAAATCAATCAATCAATCGTTTTTATTTTTGTGAGTGGCAACCATGGTCGCATCTATTATAAATACGGTGACCACATTTGTAGCGACTGGCGTGCTTTGCTGAACTCGGCCAAAATCGCTTAGGTGGTTACAGCGCCAAAAAAGAAGAAGAAGAAGAATACGCGACAAAATATAGTTTTGCCAATTTTTTCCACAAAACCCTTTTTCAATGATCCTAAACTTATTATCCCTGAAACAGCACTTTTATTTGGAATATATATTTTTGATAATTTGTGAAACCAGCACATATAAATAATAGTAACATCAAATAATTGTAGAATATTTTTCCATAACCTTGTACTTTGTGCTCGGAATTTTTAGCCAGCAAAATGTGTTACCCACATTCCTAGGCAGGGAATATGATGAAAATATTCGACTACTTTTGAAGCACGAATGTTATTCAACGGATTATTTTCGGTTCGGATTTCGGCTAAGCACAATTCTGTGAATAGTATCCACAACGAGCTGAATTGCAAAACTTACCTTTGAATGGATCCACTTCCCTTCCAAACTTTGAGAGTTTCTTTACCTTTACAATAAGAAGGCTACCATCTTATTTGGAGTTTCTCTCTCACAAAATTTGAAAATTGACTTCGCGCCAAGGCACATTGGCCAGGTAATAGCACCAGAACGAAAAAACAGCAAGCTGTGTGTATTTATTTTTTGTTGGTTTTTGAATCTATATGCGTAAACAATGTTTGAAATTTTAGTTTAAAATGTAAACAAAAATGACATTTAAGAGACGAATTGCTCTACTGCGGCTACCTGTTCGATACGCAATGCTCCATGATTCAATAGTTGTGTTCCAGATGCCTCACCAGGACAATTGACGAAAAAAATGAATGTCTTGTACAATTCAGGACGGATGGTCAGCGTAATTATAAAGCAATGACCAAAAGCTAGCGTTCACTGAGACGTCGGCAGAGACTCATCATCATCATCATTAAGGTTGTTTGTATGTATGTATTTTGCAAGTTTCGAAGAAAAATGAAAATTACACTCATTGTCGCTGACCAGTGTTGCCACAACTTTTTTTATATTTTTTACCAAAATCACTAGAAAAAGTTACCACATTTCATAAAAAATTACCAAACTGACTGACGATATGTACGTCTCCATCCATACAAAGCTCAGGCCACAAAGCAACTGAAGACATCTCATCACATCATTCACAGTGTCATGGATACGGTTCATTGCAACATAGGATTATTAGGCGCATAATTTCCCGTACAAGGGATGTCATTTGGCCGCTGAGATCATCCGACTTGTCACCATGGGAATTTTTTATGAGGCCGTATTTATGTGAATACGCCTAAAATTTTGGAGCACTTGAAAATCAACATTTGTCCAGTTACATATTACCAATGTACATACATACATATGTCAACAAGTGACCGAAAACATCTGAAAAATTCAACGCTTGAAGGCAGTCCTGAAAGCTTTCGACTCACACATAGACAAAGTTAAGTCCCCTACTGAATTCCGTAGCTTTGTTAGCATACATATTTATTTCATTCTTGCGCAATTGTTGTATTTGTATACGCTTAACTACGACCACGACGTTAAAAAGCTCGTACAGTTTTTTTTTCATCAACCCCCACCCACCTGTTTAAGTCCATACATTTTGCAAAAAATTATTTTCTTGTAATGCCCCAAAGCCTACTCATGTTTGTTCGACATCGTCGATATTTTTGCGCCATACACAAAGAGAGCATGACGAAAGATTTGTAGAGCGTAATTTTTGTTCGTCGAGAAAGAACTGTCAATTGTCTACCCAGCCCTAAGTCGCATCTGGCAAGAGTTATTCTTCGCTGGCATTATTGGTAGTGTTTATACAGGATCTTAGATAGATAAAGCCCTTCGTTTCTTCAAAGTTATCAATGTGACGTGTGCCCCAATACGCGAAAGCTTTTTATGTGTTGCCAGGAGGAACTTTGTCTTTTTCTCGTTCTCCGCTACATCAATCTCTTTCGCCTCTCCTTCTAGGCTGAAAAATGCTGCGTTTACGTCCTTAAGTTTTAGGTCGACGATATTGATATAATTTGTATAGGCCAGCAGCGTCGTTTTTCTGTTATATGTGGTGCCGCTTCCCAGCATCAGATTGAAAAAGTCGCACGAGAGTGAATCGCCTTGTCATTTGCTCTAGAACGGCGCTGGGAGATCCTTTCCAATTTGAGCGGAGCTCAAGGTTGTACTCAACGTCACTCTAGGTACATGGCAGTATTAGCTTTGCGGGGATCTCAAATTTAGACCTGATCGATGGTGGATTTGCCAGATCTGAAGCCACATTGATAAGGTCCAATCGGTTGGTTCATGAACGGCTTCAGTCTTTCAAACAGTATTGTCGATAGGACCTTGTACGCCACATAAAGAAGGCGGATTCCCTTTTTGTGAATTTGGCAAATTACACTGAACTTCCAATCTTTCGGCATATAAGCAAAAGAAATTCTGTAACCATGGTTTGCAGTTTGCGACAATTTTCGAATGGCTATCGGGCTTTTTGATGCAAAAACATTCATCACATGCGTCAGAAAGTTCGATAGATTTTCGAAAATTGTGGTTAACTCTCTCCCCAGGTTCGGCGTTTTCGAACAGAATTCTGAGATAGGGCGTTCTCCAACCGAATTCTTAGATAGGGCGTTGTGAAAAGTTTTGTGAACTGGCTGTCGAGATAAGTCTATCTTCCACTCAAGTGTCGATATGAGATGCCCCACTTGCCCTTTGGAGCTCGCAATGTATCGCTGCCGGCTCCGTTGTCGTCATCGCCGTCGTCGTTGCCCTGTAGGAAATGGATCTAACTATAAGCTAACTTTAAGTTGATTAGGAAGGAGCTAAAAGTCACTTTTTCTCTGTATATATTCTTTGACGAAAGCTAACTATGTATATTTCTATGGCGATATCAGCGAAATAGTCAAGGGTGGTTAATTCTGCATTAGATGTAGTCAAGGGTGGTTACTCCTGCATTTGATGTAACTAACTTGTAACTAACTACTTTTGGACATAAATTATCAATAGGAAAAACAAAATATTTTTTTTATATTTTTTTATATTTTTTTATTTTTATTTACTTTAAGTATTTATTTTATTACATTTCATATTTGTTTACATATTACCCTGTAGGTGGTCCCATATTCCAACTCCGTCAGACATAACTTCAAAATGGTAATATGAAATTTCGATCTTACTTTTATTTGTCCTCAATTCGAAAAAGTATTTGCGAAGTGCAGGATATTTAAATAGAAATGCGTTTAAAGAAAACAATCTCCTTCATTACTCCTGCATTACTTGCCAATTAGTTCCAAGTTAGCTTTTTGTAGCTAACTACGGGTTATATATTTTATAGAAATCCCGCAAAAAAGCTAACTACAAGTGGGTTATTTTTTATTAATTGATAATTTTTTTCTGCTGGGTGGCTAATGTGCTTTCGAATCCATTGCCAACAGAAAACATAATGATGATGACCGTCAATAAGCAATATACATATGTACATACACACATGTATTTATGTAAGTTCTTGTTTATTTTGTTGTTGATTATCTCCATTAGTGTGTTTTTTTTTATTACCTTATGTTGGCGCCCGCTTATTGTTGATGTTGCAAGTGTTGTTGGTTGGCTTCCGGCTCCTCATAATCGATGTTTGCGTGGCGTTTGTTGTAGCTGCTTCTGGTTGCTCCAACACTATGCGCTTGAATTTGTGTATTTTATTCTTCCGCAATGGGGCTTAACGACTTTGCAGCGGTAGCAACGCAAAATATATATAGTAAGATAAATGACATGTAGTATGAAAAAGTACCGTGCTGTGTGCAAAGTTGTAATTTTCAGAAAAAATAATTTTAAAGGATGATAAGCATTTTTCTGTTTCTGGCTGCAGTTTATTTTTGTAAAAAAATGTGTGCTTACGTGCACCAATCCCTAAAACGAAATTGATTGAGATACTCATACTTATATACAGTATTCTCGCGTTATATTTGAATACCAAACAAAAACTCGATTTTGAACTTAGGTACAACCTTATCTTCTATTTTAAGTGCAAAACAATGCTTCTCAAGGTGCAAGGAAGTTACGACCACTTACAAATTAGTCTAGCTGAGGTCTAAGATGATCCTATCAGAGCAGAGCTATAGAGTATTACTGGATGATATACATAATTCCTAATTGCAGGATTCTTTGAAGATCGTTGGAAAACCTTTGAAGGACTGTGAAATTGGACAGTAATGATCTGTTTCATGCTTTAGCGAGACATACATATGTACATCGGTTACTTCCAAAATTGCGCGTACGGCCCTTTTTTGTTAATATTCGCAATGATTTACATGCCAAAATTTTTTTGTAAATTTTGTTTTAAAATTCTCAAAAATCAACGCGATTTTTTAGAGATTTGAAATTTGCACATTATTATACTAAAATTTAATGGCCTATAAATCTGAATACCTGAATTCTTTTTAGAAATTCGTATTAAAAAGTTCGCGATTTTGCTGAAATTTTGCAGACTTTTCTTAATTTTTGTACACAGTATCATTCTTGGATTTAAATGGAGTTTGCTAAAATATAAGCCATATTTGAATACAAAAAAAAATTTTAGCATGTAAAACCTTGCGAATATTAACAAAAAAGAGCTGTACGCTCATTATGGGAGTAACTGTATGCTAGCTATGGCTATTTTTATTTATTTTTATTTAATGTTTATAATTTTTTATAAAAGCCTAGCACGTTTTATAACCAGCAGCCCATGCCAGCACCATATAAATTCACTTTTCAAACTTCGTACAAAAATTAAAAAAATCGACAAACTAACAATTACACCCAAAAAAATTTTAACGAATTTTCAGAAAAATTTTGAGTATGCAGTTTTATAGCCCATTGAATTTTAGTGCAATCTTCAAAACGCTGGGAAATCGCGTAGATTTTTTTTTTGCTGACGGTGCTGGGTATTTTCTTTCATATAAAAGTGATTGAATGGTTGGCGCGAAAATTTAATTTTGCAGAAATAAAAAGAAACTGTGTTTAATGAAGAAAAATAAAAAATTAAAAATGTTCAAACATACTTTGTTTGGAAGAAAATGCGTGAACAAAAAATTGTCAAAAATCAACACTTACCTAGCTACTACAAACTTGCACTTGATTGTACTAAAATTAAAAAAACTGCGTACACAAAAAAATTCTAAAAAATCTGACTAAACAGTCTCAAATTTTGATGAACATTTGTTAAAATTGCGAAAAAAACTAAACAGATGGTCGATGCCGATTCTTTTGGCCGATACTAGCCGATGCCGATAAAACGGTCGGACTCTACTCATCACTGGTATATGGCACAGAAGCATGGACAATGACTTCATCCGATAAGGCGGCTCTTGAAGTATTCGAGAGAAAGATTTTGTGGAAGACTTACGGGCCTTTACGCGTTGGCGATGGCGAGTGCCGCAGACGATGGAATGATGCGAATTAAAATACAGCGGCTCCGCTGGCTTGGCCATGTCGTTCGAATGGACACCGACGCTCCAACTCGGAACCCGTTGGTGGTAGCACAGGAAGAGGGAGGCCCCCACTGCGATGGAAAGACCAGGTGGAGAAGGCCTTGGCTTCACTTGGCATTTCCGATTGGCGTCAGTTGGCACAGCAGAGAAACGACTGGCGTGGTTTGTTGAACTCGGCGAAAATCGCTTGGGCAGTTACAGTGCCAAATAAGAAGTGTAATTGCAAGACAACGAAAAATTCCCATTTATAGGATAAACATAAAATTTATTTTATTTGTTTACTTTTTACTAACTATTAAATTTTGATGCATTTATTTTTATTTAAATACATATCTACTGAAGAGAACATTAATTCACTAAAATTAGATTAAGTACAAAGATATAATTGGTAAACATACTGAAGTATAGGAAAGGCATGGAAATAATGGCAACTACATACATACAAATGTAAGCACGTAATTTGTATATGTATGCGATTATGCTCTCACATTAATTTGCACTCAATTGGAATGGCGAACCGGGTATATGCTCTTCGCCCCATTTGGCCACTACGAGATAATTGCCTGGATCACGCACCTCATATGTAATTTTATAAACATTATTTCCCATATGCTTAATGACAACCTCATCGCACTGTCCTTTCGGTCCGAATATGCCAACGAACAGCATATTGTTGCCCGCCGCCGAGCCATCAACAGTAAATTCGTTCCGGTCATCGAGTGAAATGTGTGTTAGGCCAAGTCCGCGATGGGTCACGCAATTGGCATCTGATTTGAAAATGGGCACTAAATAAGGGGTGTAGAAAAATTGTTTAGAGCTTATTAGTTTGCGAAAAAAAAACAAAAACAAAAAAAAAATATCATTATGGTCAGTCAACTTACATTCCATTTTGCGAGCATTGCCCTCAGCTTCTCCACAAATGGAAATTATGATAAACGGTGATTTGGGTAATGGCACGGAATTGCATTTGATGTGTACTTTATAGAGGCCCGCCTCATTTAGGTTAAAGTTGACATTTAAACGTTCAGGATCAAGTATTTGTAGAGGCATCACACTATTTATGCCAGATGGACTTTCGACCTGCAACGGGAAGGAATGGGCGCATTTTAATTATTACCTTATCTGGTGGGTTAAATCATAAATCTTGGAATGAAGCGGTAAATGTAAAGATTTTTTGGTGTAAGACTTCACCTTAACTTCAAAATTGCCTTTCACACCATTGCGTTTGATTATGAAATTGACTTCCGAGTTCACGAGCACGGCACCATTGGGAAAGTGTAGAAGTCTCACCTTGCTGGGATCTGTTAGCTCGGGAGCGACAAGCACCAATGGACCTTCGGTAGGATAGGCATCTGTAATGTTAGTAACACTTTTTTAACTACTTAATGAAATTAGTTTTTATTAATTAAGATATTTTTATTGTTGGTGAACCAAAGATTATAAACATTAGCTGTTAATTTGAAAATTCGAAAAAAAAACTAGTAAACAAATATAAGTTCGGGAGAAACCGAATTTTATATTATTAAATATCGTCGTTTCACCTCATGGCGCAATAAACAGGTGAAGTAATAAAACAGCTTTCTCGCTTTACCTTCTGACATTCGGCTGCCTTATAAACAAAATTTAAAGGCAAATCTTCATATAAGGCAGTTTCAAAATCTTTCTTCTCGCTCTAATTACTTCACCTGGTATAATTCCGCCATGGTTTCAATTTTCTTTAAACTTTTTTTCCCCGATTTGAAACGTTTTCCAAAATATGCTGAGTTTAACCTAATAAAATAATTGAACCAAGTTTGGCAGAAATCGCTGAAGTGGTTACCGAGATGGACCTTTGTAGTCATAAAATGGGCGGTGCCACGTCTAATTGATAAAGGTCTATAAGAGTCTTATTTATTGTTAAGAGGTTGTTGTAAGAAGGTATGTATTAACTCAGAGTAAATGAGCGTCCTCAGTTATTGAAACATCGGAGTTTTCGTATTTCTGAAATTTGCCGTTATACGGGATGCAGGTGTAATTAAATCCCATTTGAATAATTTTCAAACGAATTGTTTTTCCGTGCCAAGGTTATTAAGTGCACTGGGTTTGGCAGAAATTGATAAATCGGTTGCCGAGATACCCATTTGTGGCCATAAGTGGGCGGCGCCACGCCCATTATCCAAACATTTATAAAATTGTCTGCCAAGTGGTTATTGCCAGTATCGATTTTGAGTAAATTAGCTTCAGTATTTACTGATTTATCGCTGTTCGTGTTTTTTTAAATTACCGTTATATGGTAGGTGGACGTCGTTATTGCCCGATTTCAAGGATTTCTTAGCTGGGCCCTAAACGAGGCTCGTACCGAGTTTGGTAAGGATGGGTGAAGCGGCTACTAAGATACAGTATTTCATCATAAGTGGTCCTGTCCACGCCCCTTTTCCAAATATTTCGTAATATATATTATTTTGCACCCAAATTCTACCTCACATACTGATTTTGAAAGATTTGCACCCAATATTTACTGAAATATCATAGTTTTTGCATTTTTCGGAAATACCGTTATATGAGAAGGGGCGTGGTTACAGTCCGATTTCGCCCATTTTCAATAGCAACCTCCCTTAGATAAAGGGCAACGTATATACCAAATTTCGTTGAGATCTCACACGGACAGACGGACGGACGGACAGACAGAAACGGCTTTGTTATTGTTGTTGTAGCGGCCCAGATCGGTTAATATCTCAGTCGTTGTCGTCAAGCTCTGCTAATGGAAGCCGCAGGAAGCGTACAGCCTCAATGGGGTCGGTCCACAGGGGCAAAGGCGTTAGTGTTGTCGGGTTTCCGGGCATACGAAGAGATGTTTCGAGCCGTGGGGTGTCTCTCCGCATGCCGGGCACTCAATTGGCACATCTGCGTCTAATCTGCTCAGGTATGAGTTTAACCTGCTGGAGTACCCAGAGCGAAGTTGGGCTATTTTGGTTCTAGTCTCCCGACGCAGATGAAGTTCCGTCTCGTCGATGTTCGGTGGTTGTGTGCCTAGAACGGCATTCACAGGTCTGGAGTATACATAACTCGAGACTGACTCCCTGTGAATGCCGTTCAGGGCCTGTCGATATGCTGACGGGTCCAGAGGCTACTTAATGAACCTCTGGACTTCGTCCGTCAGTTCGTAGAGATGCTTCCTGACGTGCCTGGGCGAGGGTCTATTTGGGTGACCATGTCTGTGGCTCTCAACCAGAAACTGCTTGCCGAGCATTGTGTTATGCTCCTTAATAGGAAGCATTTTCGCCTCGGCTTAATCGACTTCACTTTTCATTCTGATCATTTATGTATACACATGTCTATATCTATATCGATTCCTTTAGTCTGTCACAAACAACCGTTATGCGAACAATGTTATAATACCCTGTGCACAAGTGCGCTCGGGTATAAAAAATCGACGAAGAAACAAATAGTATGTAAGTGCAACAAATAAACGAATAGACGAATACCTATGTATACATGTATGCACTCGTGTAAGTATGCCCACCTACATGCATACATTGGAAAGTTCCTTCAACCAAGCCGTACAAAAAAAAATTCCGTATACGTAAATACTCACCCGCGTCTGGGGTTCTTTGGTATTTTCCAAAAATACACTCATTTTCACTGTCGGCGCTTGTGTTGTTACAGTAGCGCGGCACTTCAGCATTGCCGCTCGTATTCAAGCGAATCTCCTGTGAGACACGAAACATATTACCACCGCACCAATGAGCCGTTGGAGATTCTTTTGTGACTCGTTGACTCTTGACTTTTGTGCTTTTCGCCGACTTTTTATAATACGTCACGGCTGTAGATATATGTAGTTATTTATGTATGAATTATATATGTACTATACATATAGTATTTGCAGTTAAGGTCACAAGATTTATTGTGATAATTCATATGATACATATATAAACATATTTTTATGTTGTACATATGTATGCACATGAACTTTTGTAAATATGTATGCTTGCAACTGCGCTCACTTTTTGTCTTTAGCTTTTACTTTTCACCCATCGCCCACAAAATTATGTATGAATATCGCCGGAATAGTGTGTGGTTTTCGGTTGAGTGGCCCGCTCGCACTGATTCAGTATTTTGAAAACTATATTTTCAATGAACGCGCATTATGAAGAGTTTTCAGTATAGAAAGATGCTATGCAGTAGCTTCTGAGGTACATCTGTGCGGCAGAAGAGAGCGTATGCAAATCGAAGACAACAATAAATGTGTGTATATTTATGAATATACATACATACATAGTTGGCGGAGAACGTTCCTCTTTTGCCTTTCATAATTAATATTTGGTGAAATAATGAATGTTAAAGTAGATATTACTAAATTTTGGTTTAAATAAAATAATACTACCTTTCGTTAAAAATTTATTACAAAATGTACCCTTTAAATCAAATTTATTATTTAGCCCCTGTCTGAATATGGGCATTTAGCCAAAAATATATACACATGAATTATATTAGCATAACGTCGTTTAAAGTACAAAACCACGTATCAACAAAATGCAAAACCGCGTATCAAGATAATGTAAAACCGCGTATGTGAGGTTGCATAAATTATTTTCTAGAGTAAAAACACTCATATTTCAAAACGGTCCTCTTTTTTATAAAGCAATCTGACTTCTGGCTAGTATATTTCAGGACGAATGGATAGATGGAGCCAAGAGCTTGTGTGAGCTAATCCAATATCAGTTACACGGTTTTGCATAATGACGATACACGGTTTTGTACTTTAAACGACGATATGTAAATATTGCACTAAAAGACTATTCTATTCTTTTTTTTTTTTGAGGTATCAAGACATGTGCATGTGCTCGTCATATCGCAGCAACAGATTTGACTGCTAAGGCGTTTCAAAGGTGTGTGTGCTTATAAATTTAAAAATAATTACATATGAAGGTGCATATTATTGTCTTGGATTTTCTGAGGCTGTCAACTTTTGTCGCAGTGTTGATAGAATTGGATGACGTCTAAAGGTGCAACAAAACTATGTGTATGCATTCATGTGCCAATCTATATTTACAAACATCATACATTGTTCATGGTCAATGACGCAAAGAGAACAATACGGGACACAAATATAACTAAAATTTAGTTGAATTTAATTGACATGGGTTAAAAAACGCTGTTAACAACATTCGAAAAGCATACAAATTTGACTTACGGTTTTCGCAATATTTTCTTGATATTTATTCGCATATATAATAATAATATGGTTAAACACTAATGCAATTTCTCATATGCAATTAGTGTCATCCTTACATATATATCAAAGTCAAAGTCAAAAAAACAGATATTTATATTTAAATTTACAAAATATGGAATACATTTGTTTTAATTATAAACATCAGAAATGTACCAAAAAAAAATAATAAAAATTTACATTAAATATTTTGTATGAATTGGCCGCAGAACGTCTGGCAAATGCGATCACTTGCCATCGCTTCTATGCATGTTTCCTGACAAATTCATTACAAAGTATACAATTTTATTAAGATATAGGGATGTGTAGAGCATTATGCCTTTATCTCCTGATTAATTAAAACTTATGTTGTGGCACGAAATAGACTTCACGAATCCATTCTTTAACACTCAGTTGCAAATTATAATTCTTGTAATGATATTCTGCTTCAATTTTCTTCAACACTACATAGTTGTATCACATAATATTCGGCCTTCCATTGGACTTGTTTTAGTGATGAAGAGAAATGCTACTAAGTGTTAGATAAAGTTTTTTTTTTTTAATTTTGAATGGCATTAGCGGTACACTCATTTTAAGCTTAATCAACATTAAAACTGTGCTATTCGTTTAACGATTTCCTATCATCTAACCCTCTGTATTCTATCCAATAGCAGATGTTAAAAGCTCGGCAACATCTGGATCTGTAGTACGCACGGTTAGCTGCATGGTAACACCATCGGATAACGCCAATTTAGACCGCACTAATATTTCGGCACCACCTCTAAAAGTGCCTGTTGTCGAAAAAGTTAAACCAATTTGTTTTATCAAATTAAAAATATATACATTTTGTAAAAGCATTTGCATTTTGATGCACCTACCTGAACAAAGTAATGTATGCGTGTGTGTCCCCTCAGTTACATTCTCAGAGAGATTGGCGGCACCTAAGCCAAGGAATTTCAAAATTAAATTAACTGCCTCCTGTAATGTGTTTGCAGTAGAGAGCGAATATGTATCTTCAGCTTCGACCCATTCTATAAGAATAGTTTACAATAGTTAATAATTTTGTTCAGAGCAATCAAACTGATTAGTAAAATTACCATCTGTATCTGCAGCATCCCAAATCGCTTGGAAATTACTCTTTTTCGATTTTTGAATTTGGTCAGCAACTGTAATTTCAAGATCTTCTAGCATGTATTCCTCCTCGTAGCCATTATCTGAATCGGGTTCTCCTGTATTTGGATCGCAATCCTTAACCACGAATCGTAAAGTGGCGCCAAATGTTGCTAAGAAAGAAAATAAGTATAAATAGCAATTAATTATATACTTATATGCCTTTGATTACCAGCTGAACTAGCAACATCTGGTGGAAATTCGACAATGACAAAAGTCGTTTGTAAGTCATTGTAAGGAAGTTTTGGACATGGTATAACAGCGCGCGTGATGAATCCCTCAGGTATAGTTAGCTCTACACGCACATTTTCCAATATTTGATCAGGCAAAGTATTGAGACAATCAAACTGAAATAAGAAAAACAGTTTTGTTTATATATTGAGCATAAGTGCATCTTTTTGCTTTCATATCACACCTGAAATACGACGTGATTGGCGAAGATGTGTTTAATACATTGCACTGTGTATTCAGTTTCGCTTTCGGTAAGCTGTATTGGCGGTGTTGTACGATGAATAGGTCCCAACACTTGTATACCCGGCAATTGAGATAAGCGCGCAGCACTTTCTTCTTCACGTGTGATCTTCGGAGCTCGTGGCGCTGAGAATTAATACATCAAATGCTTTAAACTGACTTATGGATCGTATTTGTTTTATCAGATTAAACTTACTATTAGAAATAAGCATAGCTTCGTTGGCGGGTTCCTCTTTAACAACGGTGGTCTTGGGTACAATCGATAAATCAAATTTAGTAGACAAGTCCCCATTCAAATGTTCCGTTAACGCCTTTTCCAACAAGGCCAAAGAGCATGTTTCACGCTCGATAATGTAATGTTTATAAAGTTCCGGTTTATTGGATTGTAATAAGTGCAAGTAGTAAGTAGCACGATCGCGTACTTCATCATCAGGATCCATTTGACAACGGCTAAGTAGTACCAAAATGTTATTTATAAGTGCAGGACAAGAGGCACCAAACTGTGCCAGTGCTGTAACAGCAGCTGCACGTACTATTGGACTTTCTAAAATAACGCGATTATAAATGAAGCGAATGTACTTGGATGGTGTATTGGCAAATGGACCCTCCTTGCCAAGTAGATGAAGAATTCTGACTGCCAGCGAAACATGTTCACAGTCTTCGATAAATTCACAAAGATGAGACAGTCCAGATTCCTTAGCGTCAGCATTTTCCTCAATAATCGTAATTATGGTGTCCACAATTGAAGTTTTGTATTCCAAACCGCCCTCTTCACGCAACATACCACTTAGGAAGTTCATTAGCACAGTATGTTTGCGCGGGTACTTGGAACAAAGTGCACAAATCGCTTGCACAACAACAACCTTGAATTCATCTGAAATCTCAGCAACAAATGAGGA